GATCCTTAATAAATACAAATACAAATGTATATTCTAAATGAGCTAAACAATATAAACAGACTATTTATGGACTGAGAACCATATTATCATACCATAAAATTCCAACACCTGTCCTCTCCAAGCCTGCGAGACAGTGCACAGCCACCTTCCCCTCTTTCATGCCGTAGGCTATCACCTTCACTCCATCCATCATCCCCACGACAGACGACACACCAAAGTCTGGCATGCCAAAATAGAAAAAAAGGCTACAACACAAGTACCCACACAGGGAAGGAAAGACATAAACACATAATTAATTTACATAAGGCCACAGAGACTATCCTAATTGTATGTGTATTAGAGATTGGTATCAATACAGTATAGTCTTACTTACTACCAGTCTCCATAAAGGTTTGTAGGAAGTAGGTGAATCCAGTGTCTGGCTCCAGAGGAGGGCCACAGTGAGCATGCTCCCCAGGCGAAAGCATGTTGATGATGGACTTGATGTTCAGCCTGGTCAGATAGAACAGGATCAGTTAGAGGAGACAGAGGGTGGAAACTTGCGCACACGCGCAGGCATGCATGCACACATACATGACAATTTACCATTGGAACTGCTCTATGATGCTGTATTTCTTGATGATGTGAGAGGAGGGTCTCGCCATAGCCACAATGTCATCAGTCACCCTGAAAACAGAACACAGTGAATATAGAACTTCCAATCCTCTCTCTTTCTCTCTCTCTCCCTCCCCTATCTCTTTCTCTCCTTCCCTTCCTCCCTCTCTCCTTCACCCCCACCCCCACCCCCCTCACCAGTGTGAGTAGAGTCCCTGTACAGTTTGTTGGCTGGGCATCCAGCAGGCTGGTCCTTCGTAGCGGCAGTCCAGTCCTCCAGAGGCCAAGAGGCAGATGATCTTGGATGGGATGGCTTCACCAGGTTCTCTCTGACCTGGGAGTAGGCTAGCCGTGGCACCGGCACCATGGACATAGTAGACAACATGTACCATAGCGGAGGTAGTTCACAGAGTCAGTTTAACCCTCTAGAGTCTAAGCCCTGTCTAAGCCGGGGGAAGGGGGGGGTTCTACTAAGCTAACATATTAATGTGTAGCCCAAACTGTTCGGATACGACAGACAGAAGTTGGCAGAAGAGGCTATACCGACTTCAGACGAGTCCCAAGACGCTTGTGGGGGTCGTAGAGCAAAACGGAGAACACCATCGTGTTCGTGAGAGTCTCATCGTTCCACAATAGTTGTAGGCCAAACAGTTCGGACGCTTTAGACTTTTTTGTGAGAAGACCGCTTTTCGGGATGTCTTATGGTCTGACAAACATCGCTCTAGCCCTGCCACCTTTCACTACAGATGCGGAAGGGCGATATCGGCGGATGTGGTGGATTGAGACGCAGCCAATGCAAACTGTTATCTCTAGCTTAAACAGACAGATTTTGATGGGGATTTTTTAATTATGTTAATTCGATTACAGCAGGGCCGCGGAAATTGTGGGAGAAAGGTTCAACCATAAAACTGAAGTCAGCTGTTGAACCCTATGGAGGACAAGCTAGCGCCTTTGTCCAGTGGACGATATGCCACGATCAAGTGCAGGGTTATAGTGTGTAGTGTACTGTGGTGGCTGTACCTTGAGTGGAACCTAGCAAGACTTAGCTCAGCCTTATGGGAAGATGTAAAGTCAATATGCCCGCCTCAAGAACAACAACTTGGTTAATTTGGAAGTATGCTACATCTGCAGGTGGTTAGGTCAGAAGTGACTGACAGAGCTTCTGTGGGATTAAAGCCCAGAACAGCCACCTGGCGAACTTCCCCTACTGCACCTGTGTGAGACTGTGTAGTAATGAAGAGTCCAGTAGCTTGTACAATTGGAAAAGTAAAGAAAATAGAGTCAATAAATGTTGCAAATAGCTAAAGAAACATATCACAGTATTATAAACCTACTAGTGACCAGACCGAGCAGCCTCCAGCCTCGGATCAAGACGGTCCATTGCTTAAAGTGTAAGTATTTGATAGATCAAATTGGATGATAATAACAATGTATTTTAGTGAGGCACCATACAAATTTACTTGCATTAAAGTTCCATCAATACGTTCTCATTATCAACTGTGATTTCATTGACTGATCATAATAATCTCTATAGGATTGTTGATTCATTTTATGTACATTCATCTCAAACAATACCCTCCTCTGTATCTTGTCTTCCCTTTTTGGGGACATCTCTGAGAGAGAGGCAAGCTCCATTTCACACACACACACACACGCGCTGCTGTGCGCCAGCCCAGGTTCTCTAAACCTTATTAGCTGTCATAATAAAATTAAATCAGACATTCACAAATCATAGTAAGCTCTGTTCTATAAGACCTATACTGTACTCCTGTCCACACCTTGCATACATGAAACTTATCTGTCTCAGCCATCTGGACACATTTTGATTATGTCTTTAAGTGTTGCTGTGAGTGTGATATTGCAACATACGTGCACAATTAGAAAGCTGAAGATGTTATTGTTCCAAAGAGTTCCTACTAAATTAGTTATAATATGTAATTATATGTATTGGTCCATTGTTGATTTGACATTAGTACAATAAAAGCTATTTACTGTCAAAGTCGACTGTGCATTCTTCAATTAAAACCTCATGATTATTCTGTTCCTAAATGCAGAACACTTGAATGGGTCAGTTCTATCACAGCAGAGATATAAACATGAGTGTATTCATTTTACTAATACCACATGCAATGTCAGGCAGTGTCCATGAGAGGTCAGTAGGCCTATGTACAGTATCTGTTGTGAAACTGGTTTTCAAAAGTTTAGCCTAAGAACAGCCTAAAACTGAGATTAGGGCCATCGTTCAAGTAACTGCTGTTAATACAATGTAGCAGGGAAAGGGGGATATCTAGTCAGTTGAGCATTAAACCAAAATGTATCTACCACATTTAACCACTCTGAATCAGAGAGGTGTGGGGGGCTGCCTTAATCAAGGTCATAGGCGCCCGAGGAGCTGTTGTTGGGGGTTAACTGCCTTGCTCAAGGGCAGAACGGCAGATTATTTTACTTACTGGTTCGGAGGTTTGAACCAGCAACCTTTCAGTTACTAGCCCAACGCTCTTAACTGCTATGCTACCTGGCCCAACCACTCTATGGTTAGGGTTAGGGTAAGAGTCATAGAGTTACTGCTGTAAGTACACTGTATTACCACTCTAGGGCACACTGTGCTGTGTGGTCTGTTATAAGGGTGTGGAGGCCGACGCCCAGCTATCTACGGTCCAATGGTTCGCACTTACCGCTTCCAACCCTGACAACTGTTACCAAGGCTGAGGTACAGCCAACCACATGGATCTGAACTAAACACTCATTAGAGTTAAACTCTAACTACATACACACACAATGTCATTGCAAGGTGTATGTGAAGTGTAGGTTGTGACGCTGTTCTGTAGCATTCCAAAAGAGGACTTAGATGTGTATATGTGTGTGCGTGTAACTCATTACACAGAGAGAGAGAGAGAGAGAGAGAGAGAGAGAGAGAGAGAGAGAGAGAGAGAGAGAGAGGGATAAAAGAAGGAGAGGCTAATGAGATCAGGTTGTTCTTTTCCACAGTATCAGAAAGCTGTGAAGGCTGACAGACATGTTTTACTCTCTCAGTCACATGCACACACACACACACACACACACACACACACACACACACACACACACACACACACACACACACACACACACACACACACACACACACACACACACACACACACACACACACACACACACACACACACACACACACACACACACACACACACACACACACACACACACACACACACAAACAAGACCAGAATTAGGATCAGAGGTTACAGTTTATTTGACTCATTTGTTTTGGTGCATCAACCAACCAGACCAGTGTGAAATGGCATGGATGTTATAAAAGTCACTGTATTCTAACAGAGACAACAACTGACTACAACTGACTACAACTCACCAAAAACGTGGTCATAAATAAGAATCAACTTTACAAAAAGAGTCAGAGACTTCAAGGCGTTTTCAAATTGGGTAGAGAGAGAGTAAGAAGGAAAGAGGGAGAGAGAGAGGGAGAGGGAGAGAGAGAGGGGAGAGAGAGAGGGAGAGAGAGAGAGAGAGGGAGAGGGAGAGGGAGAGGGAGAGGGAGAGGGAGAGGGAGAGGGAGAGGGAGAGGGAGAGGGAGAGAGATCAAGAGGGAGAGGGGTTCTTGTACTCTACTGGAGCGACCAAGCTGCTCCTCTATTTCAAAGAACGGGAGAACCATGCTCACCACAGATCACAGCCTGCAATATCATTGGGAACTTGTCACAATGTTCTAATTTCATTGGCTCTTGCTAAGGAATGGTATAGTTTGAGTGGCTTTGCCATAGAGAGTTGCCCCTGGTCCTTCAGATGTTATTTTGGTAGAAATGTGATCACGATACAATATAATTACAATAATTAATAGAATATATGTTGCTTACAATGTCATGCCATTATTTCATCAATAGTTAAATTTTAAATAATTGAGCAGTTGTGGTAATTGAGAGTCTGTTCATATTACAAAAAAAAAGTATGACACCTCTAGCCTACTATTCATAGATCTCTTAATTCATCATAAATCACAAATGTGTTATGTTTATTTCACTTCCTGAACCAGTTTCTCTCTGGGCCAATCAGTGAACAATGACATCACCATAATGGTTCAGGGGGGTCGACCTGAGCACTGGACAGATTCCCTGTGTTAGAGAGGATCAGCCTGAGAAAGACGCTGCACAGATTTGCTCATGAGTAGATGTTTAGAATACAGGGTGATTCTGCGCAGCACCGTGCTCAGGCTGATCCCCTGGAACACCAGGTGTAGCAGTTCCTTGTTACAGAGGTTAGGGGATCTACAGTAACTAGTTGGCAGTGGGTTGGCAGCTGCTAGCTCTCAGGCCGACCTTCCTCAACAAGTAAACAAAAGTAATGTGACTAGGAATGACATCATGCAACATTAACAGGTGTCATCATCATCAGACGATCTCCCGTGACTTCCTGATGGCACAGCAGAGCAGCATGCTGAAGATCATCCCAAACACCTGGGGAATAGAATGGGAAATGCTGAATCAATGAAGAGTTCTCTATTGTAGGGAAGTTGTCTGTCAGTCCTGTCTATCTATATATCAGTAATGGGGCGTAGTGGGCTAACATGGTCTTCGGTTGCGCTGTGTGTGTGTGTGTGTCTCACCATGATGATTCCAATAGCGATGCCCACTCCTGCTATGATGTGCAGCTTGGAGTCAAACACTTCATCTATAGCATCAGGACAGCTCTGCAATACACACACACACATCAAGGGGCTGTAGACATTATAGAAAGTGGAAGGAGGAACACCTGAACACAAACACAATCACAGATCAGGGTGTTACCTTGGTGATGAGTCTATCCAGCCCATCTCTTGGGGGACAGGTGTCTTTGGCAAAGTCCACAACGGAACCTGTCGGTCCACAGCAGTCCAACTGTAACACACACAGGGTAGAATAGAATGATACCTTTTTTGTCCAGCTGTTTGTATATGGAAGGTATTTGTTTCTGCTCCCAACCCCCTAGACAATACACACACAAGCAAACACATTAACTACATTATTACCCCAGTCTGTATGAGACGGAGTGTCTCTCTCAGTGTGTCCTGTGAAGTGTTCTGGTAGTTCTGATATGTCTCCAAGTAGAACTGAGTGATGTCATCAACCACCTGTAGAGGAAGGGATGCAATGTGACACAACACAGGGAAAGGGTTTTAATGTAACAAAGGGAAGAGCAGGGGAAGGGATTTAATGTAACACAGAACGGGGGATGTAACATGTTTTGGCACCTTGCTTTGGTTGGAAAACCCCCAGATTCCAGCGGCGACCTCAATGGCGAATATGATGAGGAGGGAGAAGAAGAACTGCAAGAGAGAGATACGCACATGAACCTCTCTGTGTGTGCCCCCTGACACAAACCACTCCCCACCCCTCCCTGGTCAGGAGGGATTTTGGAAAAGATTATTAGAGATAGCGAGAGAGAGAGAGAAAGAGAGAGACCGAGTTATGGCCTTTAATCTGTTCTGTAACTGATGATATACTGAAACAAAGAGTTACAGAGTATCAGACTATCAGCCCCAATAACAGTCCAACTGACTACAAAGAGAAAGATAAAGAGGAGAGGAGAGGAGAGGAGAGGAGAGGAGAGGAGAGGAGAGGAGAGGAGAGGAGAGGAGAGGAGAGGAGAGGAGAGGAGAGGAGAGGAGAGGAGAGGAGAGGAGAGGAGAGGAGAGGAGAGGAGAGGAGGAATAGAGGTTAACTCACCAGCCCCAGCATACAGGGTGACTCCTGAATCGCTCCACAGCATCCCAGGAACCCAACGACCATCATCAACGACCCTACTATTATAAGGATATACACACCTACACACACACACACACACACACACACACACACACACACACACACCACCATCAGAGCTCCTGCAGTGATATTTGATCATGTATGTGTGTATGCATGCTTGTGTGTGTGCAGGTAAACGTGTGAGTGCGTGCATTACCTGTGAAGAAGACATAGGGAGATTCTGCTCCTTCAAACAGCCCTCTGGTCTTTGGGTCGAACCTCAACCACAACCCTATAGCCAGCACTCCTGTACCTGCAAGCTAACACAGACACACAGACACAAAATATTAGATATCATACACACACACCTATCCCAGAGTATGGAAAGCCAGGTGAGAGACACACACACACACACACACACACACACACACACACATACACACACACACACACACACACACACACACACACACACACACACACACACCTAGCCTCTATCCGTCGATTGCAGTAGATACAAGTGCATTCAGATAGAATTCAGACCCCTTGACTTTTTTCACATTTTGTTACGTTACAGCCTTATTCTAAAATGGATTAAATTGTTTTTTTCCCCCTCAACAATCAACACACAATACCCCACAATGACAAAGCAAAAACAGGTTTTTAGACATTTTTGCGAATGTATAAAAAAAAAAAAATTGAAATATCACATTTACATAAGTATTCAGACCCTTTACTCAATACATTGTTGAAGCACCTTTGGCAGCGATTACAGCCTTGAGTCTTCTTGGGTATGACGCTACAAGCTTGGCACACCTGTATTTGGGGAGTTTCTTCCATTCTTCTCTGCAGATCCGCTCAAGCTCTGTCAAGTTGGATGGGGAGCGTTGCTGCACAGCTATTTTCAGGTCTCTCCAGAGATGTTCGATCAGGTTCAAGTCCGGGCTCTGGCTGGGCCACTCAAGGACATTCAGAGACTTGTCCCGAAGCCACTCCTGCATTGTCTTGGCTGTGTGCTTAGGGTCGTTGTCCTGTTGGAAGGTGAACCTTTGCCTGGAGCAGGTTTTCATCAAGGATCTCTCTGTACTTTGCTCCGTTCATCTTTCCCTCGATCCTGACTAGTGTCCCAGTCCCTGCCGCTGAAAAACATCCCCACAGCATGATGCTGCCACCACCATGCTTCACCGTAGGGATGGTGCCATGTTTCCTCCAGATGTGACGCTTGGCATTCAGGCCAAAGAGTTCAATCTTGGTTTCATCAGACCAGAGAATCTTGTTTCTCATGGTCTGAGAGTCCTTTAGGTGCCTTTTGGCAAACTCCAAGCGGGCTGTTATGTGCCTTTTACGGAGGAGTGGCTTCTGTCTGGTGTGCTGCAGAGATGGATGTCCTTCTGTAAGGTTCTCCCATCTCCACAGAGGAACTCTGGAGCTCTATTATTGTGACCATCTGGTTCTTGGTCACCTCCCTGACCAAGGCCCCTCTCCCCCGATTGCTCAGTTTGGCCGGGCGGCCAGCTCTAGGAAGAATCTAAGTGGTTCAAAACTTCTTCCTTTTAAAAATGATGGAGGCCACTGGGTTCTTGGGGACCTTCAATGCTGCATACATTTTTTGGTACCCTTCCCAGATCTGTGCCTCGACACAATACTGTCTCGGGGCTCTACGGACAATTCCTTCGACCTCATGGCTAAGTTTTTGCTCTGACATGTGCTGTCAACTGTGAAACCTTATATAGACAGGTGTGTGCCTTTTCAAATCATGTCCAATCAATTGAATTTACCACAGGTGGACTCCAATCAAGTTGTAGAAACATCTCAAGGATGATCAATGGAAACAGCTTGCACCTGAGCTCAATTTCGAGTCTCATAGCAAAGGGTCTGAATACTTATGCAAATAAGGTATTTCTGTTGTTATTTTTAATAAATTTGCAAAAATTTCTAAAAACCTGTTTTCACTTTGTCATTTTGGCGTATTGTGTGTAGATTGATGAGGATAATGTCTAATTTAATCCATTTTAGAATAAGGCTGTAAAGTAACAAAATGTGAAAAAGGGAAGGGTTCTGTAGATAGATAGATTTATTTGAGAATTTAAAACACAATACAACCACATGTGGATAATGCATTTACAATCATTGATGATGACACAAAAACATTTGAAAACGTATTTCCATTTTGGTCCTCTTAAATAAATGGTAAAACAATTAACAAGCATAAACATAGTAGTCCTAGGCTACACAGTCGAACTAGCATACTAGGCATACTTTGGTTACACACATAGCACATTACAAAACAAAGTACAGGACGACATTGTCATAGCCTAGAGCATTTCATACAGATAGGAAAATATATATATTGCTCGGTCATTAGCCATTCTTTTTAAATGAAGTTATGGTCGGCATGGCTTTGAGTTGCTGTGGTAGTTTGTTCCACTCAACAGTGCCGGTATATAAAAAGGTGTTCATACCAGATAGATTCTTAAATATAAAACAGGCAATATCAGAGTCTCTGGTTCTACTGTTGTATTCCTTCGACCTCCCGAGTGGCGCAGTGGTCTAAGGCACTGCATCGTAGTGCTAGCTGTGCCACTAGACCGGGAGACCCATGGGCGGTGCACAATTGGTCCAGCGTCGTCCAAGGTAGGGGAGGGTTTGGCCGGCAGGGATGTGGGGTTTTTTCCCACGGGGGGGCAGTATGAAAAAAATAAAAAATACAAAAATACATGTATGCATTCACTAACTGTAAGACGCTCTGGATAAGAGCGTCTGCTAAATGACTAAAATGTAAATGGATTGGTGGACATCTCTAATATAAGTAAAATAATTTGATAGGTGCCTGGGGGCTGAGTCAGTAATAATGATATGGACCACACCAAGTTTAATTAATATTACCCTTTACAGATAGCTAGCCTAGCTGATTAAAATGCTCAATCTCCAGATGAGTACGAGGGGGGAGTATAAGTACAACTCTCAGCAGCTTGTTTTGGCTGGTCTGTAACTTATTCTTTAGATGTTTAGGGATGCTGGTGAACCATGATGTGCACGCATAATCAACGTTTGAACACACCTTCTCATTGCAGGGTTTTTCTTTATTTTTACTATTTTCTACATTGTAGAATAATAGTGAAGATATCAAAACTATGAAATAACACATATGGAATCATGTAGTAACCCAAAAAGTGTTCAAGAAATCAAAATGTATTTTATATTTGCGATTCTTCAAAGTAGCAACAACTAATAACAAGATAACTAATAATGTAAGCATACTGTGTCCATAATTGTCACGCCCTGGCTCTGGGGACTCTAGTATGTTGAGCCAGGGTGTGAGTTTTCATTTGTTTTTGTTCTAGTTTGTATTTCTATGTTGGCCAGTGTGGTTCTCAATCAGAGGCAGCGTGTATCAGCTGTTGCTTGTTGTCTCTGATTGGGAACCATACTTAAGCAGCCAGTTTTCCCACAGTTTTTGTGGGATCTTGTTCCAGTGTGGTTTGTGTTAGACTGAGGATGACACGTTATCGTTTGTTGTTTTTGTTCGTGTTATCATTATTTAATAAATATGTTCACCTTTCACGCTGCGCCTTGGTCCTCTGTACCCGACGAACGTGACAGAAGATCCCACCAACACTGGACCAAGCAGCGTGTCCAGGAGCCAGCGCCAGAGGTATCGCTAAAGGACATCAACCTCGGCTGGGCCTGGCCCACGGGGAGGAGAGACCCCCAGAACATTTTTAGGGGGGGGCTCACGCCGTGGACGACGGGGCAGCAGGAGGCCGCGATAGAGCGGTCCAGCGGGGTTGCAGAGGAGGCCGCCAGGTTAAGGGGGCCACTGGTCACAGAGGAGAGGGAAAGTGTAGAGGCACGGCGAGAGGTACTGGGGTGTGTTACCAGTCCGGTCCGGCCCGTTCCTGATCCCTGCATAGGGCCAGTGGTGTGTGTCCCCAGTACGGTCCGGCCTGTTCCTGTTCCTCGCATCGAGCCTGTGGTGCACGTCGTCAGCCCGGCCCGGCCTGTTCCTGCTCCACGCACCAAGCCTATAGTGCGCATCGTCAGCCCGGCCCGGCCTGTTCCTGCTCCTCACATCGAGCCTGTGGTGCGCGTCATCAGCCCGGTTCGGCCTGTTCCTGCTCCCCACACCAAGCCAGTGGTGTGCGTCGTCAGTCCGGCACAGCCCGTGCCTGTTCCACCGAGTCCGGCACCGGTCAGCTGCTCCACGTCGGAGCTAGAGCAGTCCGCTCCACCGGTGTTCAGTCCAGCTCCGGCCAGCGGGGTCAGACCGGACCAGGGGTACTTTGGGGGGTTGAATCCAGATCCGCCGCCAAGGCGGAGTGCCCACCCGGTCCCTCCCCTGTGGTGTTTGGTTGGCGCGGCCGGAGTCCGCGCCTTTGGGGGGGGGGTACTGTCACGCCCTGGCTCTGGGGACTCTAGTATGTGAGCCAGGGTGTGAGTTTTCATTTGTTTTTGTTCTAGTTTGTATTTCTATGTTGGCCAGTGTGGTTCTCAATCAGAGGCAGCGTGTATCAGCTGTTGCTTGTTGTCTCTGATTGGGAACCATACTTAAGCAGCCAGTTTTCCCACAGTGTTTGTGGGATCTTGTTCCAGTGTGGTTTGTGTTAGACCGAGGACGTCACGTTATCGTTTGTTGTTTTTGTTCGTGTTATCATTATTTAATAAATATGTTCACCTTTCACGCTGCGCCTTGGTCCTCTGTACCCGACGAACGTGACAATAAGTATATAGGTTGTAGGTTGGGAGCTTTTGTGAAAGAGCACAGTTAGAAAGATATGGCATATAGAAGCAAACCGGATGGACATCATGAAAATGATTGGAGAGGTTGAGAGTAGAAGAAGTTCAGGAGAAAAATCTAACAAAATATAATTATTGTAAAATTGACTGTGTCCATAAAATGTATATAGTAAGTATAAGCTGGAAGTAGAGGCCTAAGCATTGTTGTTCACTAGTTTACTCCAATTAGGGAAAGGGTGGCTTTGCACACTCTTGGCATTCTCTCAACCAGCTTCATGAGGTAGTTACCTGGAATGCATTTCAATTAACAGGTGTGCCT